GGCCCGGGGAGAGCGCTGGGGCGGAGCTGCAGGTGCCACCTCGGCGACGCGCGGCACCTCCTCCTCCGCGCCGCCCTTTCCTCTTCCTTTTCATCCCTCCCCCTACCTCCTGCCACCGGAAGTGACTTCCCCGCTTCCCAGAGTTAGAACTGCAAGAAACCATGGAGGTCATTTATTTTCCTCTCCTCCATTACATAGAAAAGGACCAAGGCAAGGGGGGCGGCCTCAGTTTTTGCCCCATTCATTGGATCCATTTATTTTCCTTCCCTTCCCCTCCACGGTTGTTTGTTCCTGTCTGCCCCCGCCCCAGCCCAGTATGTACCATCTTCCCTCCCCCCAAAAACCAGAAACAAATGAAAATAGGGGCCACTTTATTTGAGTCCAGGGATATCAGCTTTGGGCAGCAGCTGAGGGCAGCTTCACATAACTCTTCATGGGGGGCAGCGGCCGAATCTTTCGGCCAGCCCAGCCCCCCTTGCGGTGCCATCGTCCGCTGTTAGGCCTCTTGCCCAGCCAGCGGTTCCGCCCGGCCTTGCCGATGACCCGTTTGTTATGATCAACGTTGGATACGCGGCCTACTGTTGCTATGCACGTTTCCAAAACCTGACAGTGAAAGCAGATGGGGGAGAATGCACTGTGGGGAGAAAGAGCCTCACACTGTTGAGGGCCTGGACTCTTGAGCGGCTTCCTATACTCAACGAGAGAAAAGAGAGGACAGGAAAAGCAGAACACAATTGAATCTGAGTGCAGGTCCTGCAGTAGTTGAGGGTGCCAGCCTGACAAGCATGCCTAGTCACATGGCAGAAAAGGACAGACTTGGCTCCAGGCAGTTCTTAACATAAAACATCTGGGAGCTATCCAGGCCAGGAAAGGCACATTCCAAAAATTCCTCCTTTGATGATCCCTCCCACCTGCACCCACACACCCACACACCTGCATCTGTCTCTTGGATGGCAGCTGGATGATAGCCGTCCCATTCACCTTTCGTAGCAGCACACCGCAGGTTCCTGGGGAAGGGAGAAATAGCTTTGCCACCCTCCTCAGAGGAGGAGGTGGGGAGCAGATTTTCAAGGGGCCGTACCCCACACACTGCCCCTGCTTTGCCTTTCAGGAGTAGAAACCCTGAAGCAGGATACATGTAAGGTTTTATGGCAAAACACAAGCACCTCTTCGTCCTTGTTTTCCCCATTTTTCTTTGCCAGTGGACCAGACGTGGGCCCATGCGTTCAGAGAATTGTGCCCACAGGTATCCCTTGCCCTTCCAAACTGTAAGACCCCCAAGCAGCTCCTTTTTTCATACCTGCGGCTCTAATATACTGGGCCCCCCGGCCTGGCTCACTCTCCACATTGTTGACGAGGGTCCCCACTGGCAAGGCCCCAAGAGGATGAGCATCCCCTTCCCGAGCGGCGACTAAAAGACAGAATTTTATCAGCACCAGAACCCTTGCAGCCTCCCAGCCCACACACATCTGGCGGCCATCTCTCACCTGCCATTCGGCTTATGTGGTCAGAGTTCAGGATTATATCTCCAGCCTGCATGTTTTCTGTGGCAATGATCCAGCGTTTCCGGTTACCCCCAGCAACCAGAGCTATATCTGCTGACCTGTTCAGAGTGAGAAACAGGTAAGCAGACCATCTAGGCAGCCTCATGACTTCTAAAAAGCCACAGAGCAGTCATTCAGCCATACCATCATGACCCTACATCTCAAACTTGCCTACAGGGATCATAGCGGACGGTGATGATCTTCTCCTCAAAGGGTCCTGGCTTGGATTCCTGCTCGGGTCGGAACCGCAGAAAGTCAATCATGCGATAACGCTGCTTGTGGCCCCCGCCAATACCATGCACTTGGATTTGGCCTGTGGTCAGGACAGTGCGGGGGATATGACCCAGGTCAGACAAATCAGTTCCCAGCACTAGGAACAGGCCCATCCTAAGCAGAGAGTAGTGCTTCCCAACATTATGACTAGCAGGAAATGATTAAAAAAAAATTGCACAACACAATGGGGTAAGTGGGGGTGAACACATACATGGAGCTTGGTAAAAAACATGATCCTGAAATTGTATAAAACTTTCAGATAAAATCTCTACAAATTACTGAATTCAGGAAGTTTACTGAGAGCCATGTAACTCATGTTCAATTTCAACCATTGTAAATTTGTGACGGGTGTGAAGAAAAATGTCATGGAACTTCCTGAGTATGTCCAATTCAATTACCTAGATTATCTTTGGGAACACGGACCACTTGTCTGTTGTCTGTATTCTACTCTCTTACTCTCACGCACATACTGAATGCAGAAGGAGTCTGATAAATGCTTTTTAATTACATTTCTCTGCCTGTATTAAAATACAGGCTTAGGGTCCTACGATGTTTTTCCCCTTTACTGCTTAAATCTTGCCCTTGCTCTCACCTTTGTGGTTTCGGCCCCCAGACTTCCTCATCTTCACTGGCATAATGGTATACTTGGTACAACTCTTCCAGGATACAAATTTAGCGCTAAGGGCCACAGAGGTAAGGAATGGGCGGCAGGGAAGCAACATCGAGGCAGAGGGCAGCGGAAGGAGAACATTGTTTGTCACCTAGCGATAAACAGAAATCTCTTTCACTTGAAAGCTAATTGAAGGAGAAGCCTCAGAGAACTAAGGGAGAGGACACAAAGTTTAGCTTGTAGCCTACCTCCTCCTGGAACTGCCCCAGACCAGCTGTCCAAAAACTCCACCCGCCTTCACAGCTTGCACAGATGCCAGAATGGGATGTTTATCAAGGTTTATGTGTGTTGATTACCTCTCCTCATTTGATCCTCTCACCTCTGAAGTATTTCTTCAATGGAATGTTCTCCCTTGGTGCATCTTCTTCCAAATTTGGCTCAAAACTCTCCTTCTCCAAGAAACTCTTCCCTAAACAACTGCCTTCTCCAGGGCTGCTAACTTCCACACATCCATGTACCACCATCAGCACCAATGCCTTTTGCCCATTTTGTTGCATTGTTTCTGAGTTTTCCAGATATGAATGGAGCGAGATCATTTATGTCTTGTTCCCTGCTGTATTTCCAGCATTTCACATAGTAGGTTGGTTTGGTTTTGAATTTTAAGCATGCATCTGCAAACCATCAGTCTGAAAGTTCCAGAGGTAAGACTTAACTTCTCTTTTCTGTGACTTAGTTGCCCTCTAAGGACCTTGTGATGTCTTCATGTTAGACTCTTTTTCTTGGTCTCTTACCCTGAATTCTCTAATCTCAGTAGTAACTCATTCTTAATGGTTATAATAATGGCTAAGAGCCCAGGCTTTGAAGCCAGACTGCCTAGTTCCAATAGTTGGTGTATGACCTTGGACTGCATATCAGTTTTCTCATGTAAAGTGGGAATGATAATAATTACTTTATAGAGTGGTTGAAAGGAATTCATTGATTTAAAACGTCTGTTACTTATGCTTGGCTTATGACAGACACTCAATAAATGTAAGTTATTATTGAGACCTGTACAATATTTGTCTGTAAAGCACTTTCATTTCCAATATCTCGTCTGAGGAATCCAGCGACCCTGTGAGATAGCTGTGCTTACAAAGGAGAAAGCTGAGGCTGGGAGTGGTTTATCCAAGGTCACGGGCCGGCATGACTCTTAACCAGACTCTCATCCCCCAACTCCCATCTCCTGGTGCCCTCTCCGGCAGCCTGAACGGAAACAGCCTCATTTCCGGGTAAGGTGGATTACCTGCGTGGCCAGTAGCAGGCTCGGGTCGGGGACAGCGGCGATCCGGGGCGTCAGGCTCAGAGAGCCAAGAGCACGGGTCAGTACCCGCAGGGCCATGAGCTTGGCCAGAATCGGTCGGGCTCAGCACACCACCATCACCTTTAGACAGGCCGCCTGGCTCTGCTGGATGACGCTAACAGGTCTCGGTGCTGTCGCTCCATCGTGACGTAAAGAGAGACAAGCAGAGAACCAAAGACCAAGTTGGACACACACTCCTTTCCTCCCTGCGCGTGGTCAGAGCCAATCCCGGGGTGGCTGTTAGGTCGCGTGACTGGCTAACAGGCTCCGCCCCTCAGAGCAGTCAAAACAATTGCCTCGAGCGGCAGCCATGATGGATTTAAAGGGGCAGTACCGGCAAGGGTGGCAGCGAGACCGACAGACTGCGGGTGAGTCTTTGAGGGTCCTCTGGGCTGAGAGTTGAGGTCCCGCTACCTCTTTCCTGCACTCCCGGGCAGATGACCAAATGAGCCCCTCTGTCGGATTTCACACACTCCAGTTAGACTCAAAAACTCCGCCCCCCGCGATTCTACCCGCCCCTCGGCCTCCAGACCGACAGACAGAAGGTCTGCCCCGCCCCCTGCGCTACCTATTGACTCAGTGACCTCGGGATTGTCTGGCCCCGGGTACTCGCTCGCGACGCGGACCTCTTCCCATCACCCTTGCGCATCTCGTTCTATCCCCACCCTGGGCCTCAGGGCATGTCGACAGCCTGGGAAATATCACCGCACTCCCAGGCCCGCGAGACCAACCCCCAGCGGTGCGTATCCTTGTGATCCCGCAGCCGCTCAACGGACCTGCCATCCTTCCCTGCATCATAAGGCGTCTGGGAGGCAACCTAAGGTGACTCCTCTCAGAGCCTATTAGAGTGTGATCATGATAGAGACAAAGCCATAGAAGTGACCAGGTCTTCCTCCTCGCCCGTTCCCAGACACGCCCCTTGCTGCAGGTCTCAGATCAAATCTCACTTCGTTCTTGGGAGAAAATAACTCCTCAGGCTTGGGGTAGGAGGTTGGCTTGGGGAAGGAGGAGGGACATTGGTCGTCTTTGAAGACCTGTAGGTAGGAGGTGGGAGGGCATTTGTCCTGGGTGGGGCTCTATGCCAAGTCCTCTGGGTGGCTGTGAAGTTGTGAGAGAAGGGGTGGGAACGCTGGACTTCTGGACTTTGGGCAGGGCAGATCCTTCTGAATCCTTGGCTGCTAGAACAGAGTTTCTTCCGGGCTCCTGCCTGAACGCCACAACCAAGGGCTATCTACAGGGTAAGAAGACTTCAAAGATGAAAAACGAGGCCTTTTCAAGGAAGTAGGAAGACAGCCTGAGACCTGGGGCTTCAGGCTAGTGGGGAAAGAAGGAGGGCTGACCAGGTTGGGAGATGCTGGGCTTAGCTCCGTGGGTGGAGCAGCCTGAAGACCATGAGCCTCTGGGCCTCTCATGTGGGTCCTGTGATGAAGGCTCCTCTTCTTTTCCTTCCCTTCTCTTTCTTCATTTAATTATGAAACCTGTTCTTCCCTTTTTTTGAAACCTCTGCACTTTTTTCTGTGTATCTCCTGTCTGCTTTAACCCCGTTGCTTCTACAACTCTCTCAGACACCCTCTGTGTTCCCTGTAGTGCAGCCTCTCCTCTCCTGATTCCCTTTCCTAGCCCAAGCTCTCTCTCCAACTTCTCTGTTCTCTTGTTCCTTAGTTCGAAATCCCTCTGTTACTTCTCAGCACCTTTGTTTCTTCTGCAGTCTTTCTTAGTCAATTCAATTCCTCTTCTTGCCTCTTTCCAACAACCTTAGCTTTGTGTCTAGTGTCACAAGCTGCCTCCCCGCTGGTCTCTCTCTCTCTCTCCAGTTAAACCACAGCCCCCCCCCAACTCTCATCCCTTCATTTGGATCCCCACCACCCTCTACCCAAGGCGTTCAGCCACTCTTTCCTATCTTTACTCCAGTTGAGCTCTGTTGTTTCTCTGTAGCCCAGGCAAGGGCCCCCTGCCAGGATGTCGGGTCTGGTGTTGGGACAGCGGGATGAGACTGCAGGGCACCGGCTCAGCCAGGAGGAGATCCTGGGGAGCACCCGTCTGGTGAGCCAAGGGCTGGAGGCTCTACACAGTGAACACCAGGCTGTGCTGCAAAGCCTCTCCCACACCATCGAGTGTCTGCAGCAGGGAGGCCATGAAGAAGGGCTGGTGCATGAGAAGGCCCGGCAGCTGCGCCGCTCCATGGAAAACATCGAGCTGGGGCTGAGTGAGGCGCAGGTAAGGGGGTAGAGGTAGTGCCAAGTGGCCTAGCTTCGATGGAGGAGCAGTTGTCTGATTGGAGCTTTGGGGTCGCTTGGGATCCCCATGTCCTAGATGCTTGCATTCATTCATCCAGTAAATACGTAGTAAGCCTGTACAGTGCGCCAGGCACTACAATTCTGGATGCTAGAGACACATCGCTGAACACAACAGCCATAAAGCTTTGCCATCTTGGAGCTTAAATTCTGGCTAGGGGAGGTAGACGATACACAAATAAGTAAGTGATTCAGTATACCAGAGTGATAATTGCTAAGGTTAAAAGGATAAAAATAGAGCAAGGAGAGAGGATACAATTTTAGGTAGAATAGTCGATAAAAGCCTTACTGAAAAGGCGCCATTTGAACAGAGAGTTGAAGATGAGGGAATGAGACGTACAATAACTGGGGGAAGAGCATCCCGAGCAGAGCGGACGCAAGTGCAAAGGCCTGGACCTGGAGTCCTCCCGATGAGCTCAACGCGGGTCAGTGCGGTGCAGTGCAGTGCAGTGTGCAGTGCAGTGAATGAGGAGAAGCAAAACAGAAAATGAAGCTGGAGAAGTAATGGGGGTGGGGGCAGGGGACAGAGTGTTTGGAACTGTAGGCCATCAAAAGGACCTTGCTTTTACTTTGAGTGAGACAGAAGCGATTGGAATGTTTTGAGCGGAGGAGTGATGTGGTCTAAATTAACACTTTAAGAGGACCATCAGGCTGCAGGGTTGAGAACAGATTCTAGGGGAACAAGAGCAGAAATAGGGAGGCCAGAGAGGAGGTTATGATCGCCATCCTGGAAGGAATGGATGGTGGTTTGGCCCAGGGCGGTGGCTCTGGCAGTGGTGAGGAGTTGGATCCAGGATATATTTTGAAAGTAGAACCATCATTCTCCAAGCTACCTCCTGACCCCTGTCAGTCTTGCCTCCTCCCCCCGGTAGGCTCCCCTCCCATCTATCCCATAACACTCCTACCCGGAGTCTGACACTCACAGGATGTGCCCACCTAGGTGATGCTGGCTTTGGCCAGCCACCTGAGCACAGTGGAGTCGGAGAAACAGAAGCTGCGGGCTCAGGTCCGGAGGCTGTGCCAGGAGAACCAGTGGCTCCGGGATGAGCTGGCGGGCACCCAGCAGCGGCTGCAGCGCAGCGAACAGGCGGTGGCTCAGCTGGAGGAGGAAAAGAAGCACCTGGAGTTCCTGGGGCAGCTGCGGCAGTACGATGAGGACGGGCACACTGCGGTGAGCCTGCGGGGCTTGCGGGGGCGGGGTCGCCCCAGGAGTCCTCCTCGAGGGCCAGCAGCCCCCACCTGCCCCAGCCTGGCCGAATTCAGGTCCCAACGCCACTCCAGATGACAGCAAGGGGGAAGTAATAGTCACTCGTTCCGTCAACATTCGATGAAATGACTATGAACATGTCAGGCACCGTGCACTCGCAGGGGATGGACAATGAACAGGGCAGACTGTGGGCCTGCTCTCACAGGTTTATGGGGGAGACAGATAAGCACAGGGGCAATTCCAATTCAGAATCCTAAGTACCCCAGTTAGGGAGAGCACAGCCCAGTTGAACAAGTCCTTCTAAAATTTGCTTTCAAAATATGTGGAATTTAACCCTCGTTCAACAGGCATTTATATATCTCTGTGCCTTAGGCAGTGCAAGATGTCTATCGGGTAGATGTGAGGAACCACAAAAGGGAGTTCCTGTCCTCTTGAGCTTATAATGTAGCTGTAGGAACAAGGCTTACATGTGGGAACATGTATGTGAACACACAAAGCAGCAGTGCCCGGTGCTGGAGGAGTGGTTGGGTGGGAGGAGTTCCAAGGAGATAGGTTCATGGGGGCTGGAATGGTCTGAAAGATTCACAGAGGAGGGGCATACAGGGATGGGTAAGATTTAGGTTGGATTTTTTTATTTGAATGGATTAGGAATTGGGGTGGATTTTGATGGTCAAGGAGGGAGAGGGTTGAGCTTTCTAGACAGAGTGTGTGTGTGCGTGTGACAGATAAGGCTCCAGGGCTGGAAAGGTGGTCTGCCCCAGAGACAGTGGGATGATTTGTATGGGACACACTGGTGAAGCTGAGCAGGAGGGTTGGAGGTGTTTGTACAAGGCTGCAGGGCCTGGTGGGGCAAAGCACTTTACCCAGTGTGGAAGCAGGTTGGACAGTGAGGTTTGGGCACTAAGTCCAGAGTAAGTGGTGGCCGATGAGGGGCATGGGGCTGAACTAGACACTTCAGGTACGTGTCCATAAGGTCAGACATAGCCCTGTCCTCAGGAGAAACAGGACAGACGTATAATCAGTGTAAGCACACAGGGATCAACACAGGACTATAATTAGTAGAGCTGAGGGGGAGAGAGGTGGAGGCTGGGGGATGAGGGTGCTTGGGAAGGAACCTCTCTGGATGTGAAGGAAGGGAAAGTCATGAGATTCTAGCTGAAGCATCTCTGTATTTTACATACAACAGAGGCCTAAGCTTGGTGGGACAGATGCTGGTCTTCCCAGGGGTGGGGACTTGAACAAGGGACTTAGCCTAAGCCCCACCTGTCAGTGATTTCATGGCTTAGAGGGGGCCTGAAGAGGCCACTGGGGCTATCTTGGCCCAGATATGCCACTGCTTCCCTTCCAGGAGGAGAAGGAAGGTGATGCCTCCAAAGATTCTCTGGATGACCTCTTCCCCAATGAGGAAGAAGAGGACCCCAGCAACGGCTGTGAGTCTGCCTCTGGAGTTGGAGGGTGAAGAGGGGCAGCAGGAGGCTGGTCCCAGCTGTGGCTCACCCTGAACACAGGGTGCTCACCATCCAGGGATAGGTTCTCCATTTCCCCTGGAGATGGGCTGGGGACCAGTGCTTTGATTTCCTAAGCCTCCTCCTTATTCATCAACATCTATTAAGTATTTAGTGTGTGTTGGGCACTGTGCTGGGCACTAGGGAGACCACGATGAGCACAACACAGGTCTCACCAGTAAAGAATTCACTGTCGAGTGGGAGGATGACCCTGGAGGGGAAGAGCATGTGTTCCTCTAGGGGAAGAACCAGCTCTTTCTTACCTCTGTGTCCCTGCACAGCCCCTGGCTCATGCTGGCTGTGTAAATGTTTGTTGAATGAATGAATGACTGGGGGAGCAGATGGGATTGTGCTGGACACAGAGGCAAGAGAATGGGCAAAAGAATAGTAGTTGAGGCTGGTCTCTAGAGGGAGCCTGGTGGGGGTGGGCACAGGCCCAGAACAAGACGTGGAGTGGGAGTGGGGGAGGGAAAACAGCAAAGGGAGAGGCAGCGTTGTCTGAGGAAGTCTCCTAGTCATTTTCTGCGGTGATACAGTGTCCCGCGGCCGGGGCGCCCAGCACAGCGGCTATGAGATCCCAGCGAGGTTGCGGACTCTGCACAACCTGGTGATCCAGTATGCAGCCCAGGGTCGCTACGAGGTAGCTGTGCCGCTCTGTAAGCAGGCACTGGAGGACCTGGAGCGCACGTCCGGCCGCGACCACCCTGATGTGGCCACCATGCTCAACATCCTGGCTTTGGTGTACCGGTGAGCACTGCCCTCCTCCTTGCCCAAACCTGCCTCTACGTTCCCACCTTCGTCCACCTTTGGCTCCCTTTCCTCCTCTCCATAAGGTACCTCTTCCCCCTCCATGGTGTACCCCACCAGGGGGCTTTCTCCTGTACTAGGACTCTTGCTTTCATCCTTGAGCCCTTGATCTCAGAGCATACACATCTCTCAGCTCTGGGCAGGGTCTCTTTCTCTCTGTTTTTGTATTTTTTGTCCTGTAACTTGTGGCCTCCTCTGGGCATGGCAACACTCCAGTTGTGTCGGTGAACCCTTCTCACCCCTCCCACCAGGATTCCCTTCATGGGGGACCCCAATCCCTAAATGTACCTCAGTTGTCCCAAAGGGAAGGAGGTAAGGAGATGGCTTGGGGGCAGAGTTCAGGGTAACCCCTTTTCACTTTTGTCCTCTTACAGGGACCAGAATAAGTATAAGGAAGCTGCCCACCTGCTAAATGATGCCCTCAGCATCCGAGAGCGCACCCTGGGCCCGGACCACCCTGCTGTCAGTAGTCCTTGCCCTCCTTACCCTGTGCCTTCTTAGCTTGTCCACCCTCAGCCCACTCCCTGGGGGTGTTCAGGAAAGAGGTGTGAGGATGCCTTTCTCTCAGGCACTGGCTGCTGATCCCAGTGGTTCTCAACTCTCTGAGATCCAATGACTCCTTTTTTTTAAATTAATTAAAAAAATTTTATTGTCGGGGGAGGTAATTAGGTTTACTTATTTATTTTTGAGGACGTATTGGGAATTAAACCCAGGACCTTGTGTACGTTAAGCATGCGCTCTACCACTTGAGCTATATACCCTCCACCCAATGACCCCTTCTTATAATGAGTATTTTCCTGAAACTTAACTCATAGATAATGTAACCTACTTGCACATATAATTTCCCAAAAAGTTGAATGATACTGTATTAATACGAAAGAGAATCAAGGAAAGTAATTTATAATAAAATAATACATATAATCTCTAAATCACAATAAAATGAAAGAACAGCTATATTGAGTATAGCAACAGTGGAGGACATAATGTAGTAGTCTCATACGTAACGAGTGAAGAACTTTAGATTTAGAAGAAGTAAAGCCAGCAAGTCATTCTATGTAAAAGTATGTACCAGGAAAATGATAAAGCAGAAGAATTGATGCATATGAGATTAAAATCCAGTGTTAGAATAAGTAATAACAAACCAGATTTAGTTGTTCATGATAAGAGAAAGAGAGAAATAACCTTAAGTAGGGATAATATGCCAAGACAAATGCTAGATTGTCAGAGTGGAATGAGAGATCAGCTATTTTTGAAAATGAGCTGACCGTGAAAATAATTCCCTGTCTTATGCCATGTGATAGACAGGGGTGATGCATCTCAGAAAACAGAACTCCTGTTTTGATATCCCAGCAAGTGTCAAAGCATCTATTCAGCATTTGAATGTCTGGCAGGACATTTAAAAGTTGGCAGGGCTGTCCCACACATGCAGAACATCTGTAACATCCTTGCCTCCCCAAAGGTTAACAGTGCCCCCAATCTTTATGGCAACCAAAAAAAAAACCTGCTCCCAGAATGTCTTAACACTCTCCTTAGATGGGGAGACCACCCTCACCTCACGGGGAACCTTAGAGCCATTGGGTTCGGCAGTGTCCCTTCCCCTACCTCTGGCCCTGCTGTTCGAGGTCCGTTGCAGCATCAGCATCTGATGGGGACAAGCCTATCTTCCCAGGTGGCTGCCACACTCAACAATCTGGCTGTGCTCTATGGCAAAAGGGGCAAATACAAAGAGGCGGAGCCGCTGTGCCAGCGGGCACTGGAGATTCGAGAACAGGTGCCCGTGCCCTCTACCCGTCCTTGCATGCTGCGGTGACCCCTTCTCCATTGTCTCTCTTCCAGTCTGCCCTCTTCCCTCACTTCTTTTTGTCTCACCCCCCATCTCTGCCTTGTGCCTTGTTCCATCTTTCCCTTCCCCTTGCTCCCTGCATGGGCACACGCACGCACACACACACAGACAGACACACACACAGACACACAGACACACACACACACACATCACAGCTATTGATCTTTTGCATCCCTTCAGGTCCTGGGCACCGACCACCCTGATGTGGCAAAGCAGCTGAACAACCTGGCCCTGTTGTGCCAAAACCAGGGCAAGTATGAGGCCGTGGAACGTTATTACCGGCGGGCACTGGCCATCTACGAGGGGCAGCTGGGGCCGGACAACCCTAATGTAGCCCGAACCAAGAACAACCTGGTAAGGAATGGAGGAGTAAGGGCCGTGGGAGGAGGCAGGGGTTGGAGGAAACATCATAGTTTGGTTCACTAACCTCATCGCCTTTGTGCCCATCTCTGGGGCTGCCTTTGGGGCTTAGGGTTCTGCTTCCTCCCGGTGGGAATGCAGAAGGGCAATTGCCCCTTGAGAGTGGAGTGGGAACACCCTGGACCCTGCAGCTCGAAAAGGAGGTGTGAGGAGGATCTCTGGGGAGACTCATAAAGAGACCAAGACGTGGACATCCCAGACCTGGCTGTATCCTGACCTCCTCTCTTGCTCCTGTGTTTTTCCCTTCCTGCCCTAGGCTTCCTGTTACCTGAAACAGGGCAAATATGCTGAGGCTGAGACGCTCTATAAAGAGATCCTGACCCGCGCCCACGTGCAGGAGTTTGGGTCTGTGGATGGTGAGTGGGGACGGCCTGGGCAGGGAGCTGCAGGGAGGAAAGGAAATGCAGATCAAAGGTTGGGGGTTTGACCACAGTGGTTCTCGAGGGAGCCAGACCCCTTTAGTCCAGCTCTGTCAGCCTCTGGGTCCTGGCTCCCCCCATACCATCCAGCTCTGTTCTCTAACCTTGCCCTCCCATCCCATGTATCACCCTCAGACAACCACAAGCCCATCTGGATGCATGCAGAAGAGCGGGAGGAAATGAGCAAAGTGAGTGGGGTGGCCCAGCCTGGGGAACCCGAGCCTACCAGGGCCTCTGACTTTCCCCTGCACCAGCCCAGCTCCTCATTTCCCACATGAGCACCAGCCCCGGATGCATGGTGCCTTCCCCAGCCCAGCCTGCACCCCAGCCCTGTGCCAGCTTGCACCCCAGCATCTCTGTACTCTCATCTCTGCCTTCTCCTCCCTGTCCGTCCTCCCGCAGAGCCGGCACCGCGAGGGCAGCACACCCTATGCTGAGTATGGAGGCTGGTACAAGGCGTGCAAAGTAAGCAGGTGAGCTGCCAGTGAGAAGCCAGTTTGGCTCCGATGCCTTCGGAGCCCAGATCCCAGCCTTCTGGACCTTCCCCCTCTTCCCTTTGATCTTCCCTTGGCCTTAGCTCCACTCCCTTTCCTGCTTGTTTTCTGAACCCACCTTCTCTTCCTTCTCTGGTCTCACCCACCACAGCCCCACAGTGAACACGACTCTGAGAAACCTGGGAGCTCTGTACAGGCGCCAGGGAAAGCTGGAGGCAGCTGAGACCCTGGAGGAATGTGCCCTGCGTTCCCGGAAACAGGTCAGAGACCAGGAGGGGAAGGAGGTCAGGAAGGTAGGGCCCTGGGATGGGACGGAAAACCACTGAGGCTTCTTGTGAGTCTCTGAAGAGTAAAGAGGAAGATGAGGGAGAGGAAGGTGAGACACTCTTGTGGTTGTGGTTGTTTTTAAGTGTATTCTTACTCCCTACCTTCCGTTTGTGGTTCAAGGTTCACTCCACTAAATGGGACTATTAACAGGGAAGCCCTGCTCTCTCACAACATGAAGAATCTTCTGAGGAGCGGCATGGTGGAATGGGTGAGAGGGTGGCAGTTGAGGGGAGCCCTAAATCAGAGTTTCTCAAATTGTGGGTCTTGGCTCGTTAGTGGGTCCTGAAATCCACTCAGCGTAGGCCACGGCTAAAGATAGATGTGAATCTGTATGTAGGGATGCTTTGCAGATAGAAAACGTGGGCATTTCCTTTCCAGAATGTACTGAGGCAGCACAAGGGAAAATGTTGTCTTTGCTGTGGCTGATGGTGAAAAAGTTGGAAAGCCCCACCCTGAGGAGTTCAGAAGTGGGAAGTTCCAGCTCCTTCCTTTTCCTTCCAGGGCACTGACCCTATCAGCCAGACCAAGGTGGCTGAGCTGCTTGGGGAGGGTGACAGTGGAAGGACTTCCCAGGAGGGTCTTGGAGGCAGTGTGAAATTTGGGGGAGGTGAAGATGCCTCCGTGGCTGTGGAGTGGTCAGGGGTAAGTCTGATCATTTCCCCTCGCTCTCTCCTGCCCCTCCTGCTGCTGCCAGTGTGATCCTGTAGGATGTGGATGGGATATGAGGGCGCGTTGTCCCCATCCCAGTTCAGTTCACCCATCCTTCTCAGGGGTCTCTCTGCAAGCCAGCTGTGGATAGGGCTCTCGTTGTCAGTCATTGGGCTTTTGGGGGCTGGGGGAGATGTGCAGAATAAATGGCAGGAGGAGACCCAGAAGCCAGTCTGCCTGGGATCCCCTTAGCTTCCATTCCCCATCCCTCTCTGCCAGGATGGCAGTGGGGCCCTGCAGAGGAGCGGCTCTCTAGGCAAGATCCGGGATGTGCTTCGTAGAAGCAGCGAACTTTTGGTGAGAAAGCTCCAGGGGACCGAGCCCCGACCCTCCAGGTACACAGTGTGACTGAGATGTGGCAGAGCAGCCAGGTGAGCCCTGGCTTCCAGATCCTCTAGGCCCCTCATCTCTGGAGGACAAGTGTCTCGGAGAGAAACGTGGAGGAGGTCAATGGGATGGCATGGACAGAGAATGTGGGAAAAACGGCTACCCTAGTCGGGGTGTTGAGGGGGAACGCCACCGAGCTGATCCTGGCTACTGATGCAGATAAGAGAGCTTGTACATGTGTGTTGGGGCGGCGGGTCAGATAGTGGAGAGGCAGTGATTTCATTTCTGGTGGGTGGTGGTGCCCAAGAGGCCCATAGCTTTTGGGCCACCCACAGGGAAGAGAAGAGGCCTCAATTCTTTCTTTTCCATCATAGCAGCAACATGAAGCGGGCAGCCTCCTTGAACTATCTGAACCAGCCCAGTGCAGCACCCCTCCAGGTGAGAGTAGGGCTCGTAAGCATATTGGTGGGTGAGAAGGAAAGGACAAGCCCAGTGGGAGGGGGGAGAGTCATCTGGGATGAAGACTCTGTCAGGGAATTGGAGGTGGGCAGACAGGAATCAGGCAGACAGCTTGTTGTGGGTGGTGACCACCAAGGGACAGTTTCGGGCCAGAGATAGTAGCAAATAAATTAATCAGGAGGGCAACAGGAATTGATGTTCTCTGAACATTCAAGAATGATCTGGGGATACTAATGGCTTTTCCTATTCAGCCACCACACTCCTCACCTGGGGGACTCAGGACTCTGTAGATGAGAAAGGAAAAAGAAAAAAGTATTAACTCATCTCCATTTGAGCAAACAGCAATGACAATTTAATGGGAAATAATTACTTGTATCAACGCATTCAAAGTATATGCCAATATTCATGTGGTTCTTCCAGGTATTTTCTCCATCACATTGTGGCTTTCTGGAAAATCCCAGTAAAGGCTAAACAAAGCCCCAGAGCTTGGGTTGAGGTTACAGGTTCCGTCCTAGGTCCAGAGAGAGATTGCAGCCTTGAGATGGACAGGCTCTAGGGGACAGTCTTTGGGAGGCTGAGGTCCCTGGGTTGATGGCATGATGTTGTTGGTTTCAGGTCTCCCGGGGCCTCAGCGCCAGCAGTATGGACCTCTCTTCAAGCAGCTGACATTCAACCCCCACCCCAGGTCTTCTGGGTACCCCCACAGCCCTCACAGCATTCCCTGTTGCTCCTAGCTCTTCCAACCCCAAGGTGGGGCAGTGAAGGGGGAGCAGATAACCAGAAGATTGCTGCTGCCCTTAGGGTCTTGGCTCCCTCCTCAGGAATCCCCCTCAGGAAGGACCCTCAGGACATCTTCTCCCTACCCTGTGGTCCTCTAGAGTAGATAGCTCCAAAGCCCCCAAGGTGGGCAAGGAGCAGGTACGCACCTCCGATGCAGCCTGCTGCTGGCTTTTCTGTCAGAGGGTTCGAGGCTGGCCAGCTAGCCTGCCTTGCCCTGGCCTTCCTTGTTCCCTCTGCTGCCTCACTTCAGGTCCATGTATTTCACTTTTCTTAAATAAAAGAATCAGGTAACCATTCAGCCACAGGAGTCCTGATTGAAAAGGGAAGGAAGCAAGGGTTGAGTTGGGGCCCTTCCCAGGAGGGCGAAGGGCAGTGATGGATGGGGCGGAAGGAGGAACGTTGCTTCTTGGATCTGTTCTTTCGTCCTTCCCCTGTTTGTATCCTCTCCAGTAGGGCCTGCAGGAAGGCATCTGGGGGGTGGGGGAGAAGGTGCTGTGGACTGGGTTATCAGGGACATGTGGTGGCCATGTGTCAGGACCCTGGAGTCCTGGCGCCACTGCTCCCAGCCCGTGAGGCCCTCTGTGGCGGCCCCTCCTCCTCCCAGCTGCTTGGGGGAAGGGAGGTCTAAGAAGGCCTGGGGGGCCCTCCAGAGCTCTGGAGGGGGACGAGGCACTTAACTATCCATCCCCTCTCAGCATATCCTGGAGGCCTAGCAGCAGCTGGGGCCCATCTTCTAAAGCTTGACTCCTCCTGACCCGCCTCCTACACCCCTTGCTGCTTTCACAACAAAGAAAGAATGTGGGGGTGGTGGCGCTAGGGGTGGGGGGGTGCCTGGAACAAGGGCTGTACTGGGCCTCCCCACAGCTGGAGACTTGGCCATGCCCTGACACAGCCCAGACTGTCTGTAGATGGACTTGGGATGAATTTGTCAGTTTAACAGCCTTCAGAGAGCCCATTCTCTTTACACCTTTGGGTTCAGATTGGTCCAGAGTCAAACCAGACCCTAGTCATGCACTAACTGGTCCCTCACTTTCCAGGCTACATCTCTCCTGGAGCTCCACAGTACCTCCAGGGTACCTTGCTTAGGGACACCAAGGACACTCTTCTGTTCTAAGTTTCCCTGAGGATTTCAGGTTGTTGAGAAGTGAGCTAGAGTCCACCTTTCTCCCCACTACCCAGAGAATTTGGGGGAAGTGTTGGTCAGAGCTATCAAGAAAGCCCAGAACCAACCATCTTCCGCAGGAGCCATGGAATCACAAAAGTCACTTTGGGCCCCCTGACTCCCTGCAGACTAGGCGGTAGGCACAGCCTCCGCTCTTCTTCCTCGTTCAGGAGGTCCCCCGCACTCCCCTGGGACGCCTTCCCTCTGTCCAGGATCCATCTCCAGACCCCTCCCCCAACTGCGAGCTCCTCCCCAACACG